AAAACTACAGTCATAAAAATCTATGGAATAATAGTGTTGCCATATATGTGACAGATCGGTGATTTTTTGATTAATGTGATATGAAAAAAAAATTAGTTGAATCAAATTCTTTAAATATATGGTAATAGTATCTCAATTCTCACGATCGCATCTATATTTAAATCTAATTTGCTTTCGATAATGTTTGTAAATTGATGTATGTATGTAACACAACGCCTTCAAACCTTAATATATAAAATCACTAAAATAGTAATTAATTTATATACCTTATTATATAAATAAGTTATTTTTTTTATATTATATTTAAAGTCTTATATTTATATAAAATTAATTATTTATATGCACATTAATGGCTTATAAGTAAGCATATCCTTCACAAATCTTTATAGATTTATTAACACAATATATACTTTATATAGTAAATAAAAAATAAATTTTTTTTATGTTTTTTTGATTTTATAGTCATTATATTTTAATAGTTTTATATATATATACATAAATTGACTTAAAGCTATGATCAATTAATAACAAGAGCATTTTGGTGGTATTAGTTGTGTAGGTATTTGTTCAAATTTACAACCAGTCCCATAAACAATTTTTAAAACAATGTTTATTAATTTATATATATAAATTGATTATATATAAATTATATTGTAAAGATATTTTATAGCTTATACTAACCTTATGATAAACACCGATTCTTTTAATTGTAGGCGCTATTTTAATTAATTTTTATAATTTTTTAATAATAATAAATATATATCATTTAAGATTAAAAATTATTCTTAGTAATTAAATTTATATTCTAATTAAATAAATTAAAAATAATTAAATAGTAATTTCATATTGTTAACGCAGGAGTTCTGTTTTCGTCAATAATTCGATAAGTTTTTACAAAGCTCAGCACAAACAGAAACAGCGGGTAAATTCGTTTAGTTATTTAGTTGACGCTAGTATCGCGTAGTGAACGCGTGGACTGTAAACCTCTAAGTCCTTTTTCTAATTTATCTGCATCACCTGCGGAAAAGCGATAATTGCCTTGTCCATTCGAATTACCAGTTCCATTCACACCCAAATGCGTACGGTTGTTGCGTATGTTGACGACATGCGTAGGATTTGTAGAATCGTTTGAACTGAAATTTGTGACTGATATACGTCGGCTCGTAAGCAATTCGAGGTGTTCATCGGATTTTTTCTTATAACAATTCGGTACACTTTTAGTAGGTGGATTGCATTCCGCAGGTTCCGGTAGTCGTTTGTATTCTGCGCTGCGTGAATGATGCATTTTCCAAGAAGTACGACGCGTTAAAGTGCAATTATATGCAATTGGAGCTGAAGTGGATGTTGGAACTATTGTGCCCGTTGAATTGTTGGGTTGTGAAAAGTTGGAATGTGTCGAACTATTACTTGATAAACTGGAGTTGCTGTTATGTTGACTGCAGACTAAAGAGTTACGTTGTGATGTTCTGTGATGTTTATCATCTTCATTGATGATGTGCACCTTTGCTGTGGGCTTTTCCTCTAATTGTAATTCCTCATTGTAACGATTCGTTGTAACTGAATGCTTCGATAATGCTTTTGTAGTATGTTCATTAGGCAATAGCTCATCTGTGGAACGACAGCAACTACTGTTGCTACCAGAATGTTTCATAGTCCAACGAAAGCAATTAGAGTTTTCATCATCCAATGGTGGGAAGGTTTTGTTGTTACTATCTGATGAACGACGTTCTTTGCAATTACTTACTGGTACATCACATGGAGAAATGACTTCTTCGATTGTATTTAAGGGCGATACTTGTAAAGTTTGTTGTTGCTGTAGCATATCCATTTCAGTCTTTATTGTCGGCTCTATACCCAATAAACCTAATACCAAACGTGGATTTGCCAATACAAATCGTTCAAAAGTGGCGATATCAATTTTGAAAAAGTCTGTTTGACATCCCCGCGATACTTTGGTTGTATCGATCGGTGTGCCGGGCTTTGAATTACATACATTTACCTGTTCAGTTCTTGCTGCAAGTGGTAGATGCATTTCACGTCCCCATATATCTGGCGGATGTGATAAACAACGTTGTAAATGTGTATCATCTGCATTGCTAGCAACAAAGTGTGTGCTCACTACTGCGGTGCCACAAATATTGGGTATAGAGCGCGCCGGTGGGAATTTCAGACTGGCTTGTGATGCCATTGTAGAAAATGTGACTTCTTGTAGCGCCTGTATTGCATTACGTACTTCCATACTAAGTTGTGCCACATCCTGGTGCAGTGTGGACACTTGTGAATCTAAACGTTCCATTGAGTGTCTTTTAAATGTATCACGCAGTTCTTCCTCTCCTTCGTAAATATTTAAGTCTTCTTCTAAAGAACCAGTCTCTATGCTTGAATTGACATTCAAAGAGCGTTGTCGTTCTACACGTTCTCGCAATGAAATTTTGGAACGACCACGTTGAATAATTTTCAATTTGCGTGGACTATTCATACCTAATAATGGCGAACGTCCTAATAGTGGTGATGGTGTTGTTATGCTGTGATGCGGAGAAGCTGTTGTTGCTGTTGCCACACCATTATCATTGTCGTCTCTACCACCATCACCATCTTGTTGATTTTCATCGTCTTCACTGATACTTGGTAAAGGAAATGATGGCCCAATGTCTGAATCTTGACTTTCGTAACCCTCACGTAAATTGTAAGTCAAATCATGTTGTATATCATTAGCGAACTGTTGCTGGTATTCTGGATACAAGCGCAGTACTTCTACTAATCCGCCCATATGAACGCATTTTAAATCACAATAGGTTAATGCCTGTGTGAGAGATAGACAATGTTTTGTTGGAATATTAGCGTAATTTGATAGTGAAAATATTGAAATATAAATAAAAATATAGAGAATAAGTAAAATAATCGTGGATAGAATAAGGGCAAAATAATTTTTTTACTATGGTAGAAGAATATGGTTCCGATTTGAAAAAAATATGGAGCACATCGTTAGACTTCATTTTTTGTTAATTTGCTATGAAAGTTTTATTAATAAATTCATTTACTGCATTATATTAGAACGAAATCATAAACCAGCTGTAGAATAATTGAGTTAATTAATTATATTTTTATTTTTAATTGCTAAATTTTAATACTATTCTTTTGTAGAGGCATTATTTATTGTTTGAGTTTATATTTCTTTCTCGGTAATATAGTTATATCGTTGGCGTAGCCACAAAATTGTATTTTGTTATTAAACAGACTCTTATCAACGTCCGTTTCTGAAAGAACACTATTAAGCACAAGATTGAATGTTAGGGAAGCATCTGCTTGTTTGACGACTAATTCAATCCTAAACAGGTCTGTTAGTTCACCTTGAACGAGTAATTGATTTGTTGTATTCTTAAGGGTTAATATGATTAAGTTGGTCAATTTTATTCAGATTCCACTCTTCAATAGCGCTAGCTTAATTTTTGAACGGTATATTTTGTCAAAAACTTGTCTGAATTCTATGAAAAGGCAATGTAACATATGTCAATGATATTGACATACATTGTTTTCATAGGACTTTTCATAGAACTTTTCAAAAATCTGACATGTTGTTAAACATTGATCTATGGTTTAACTTTTAGTTTTTTCGCAACAAATGTGATAAGTAGTTTATAGGACATATAAACAGGTGATATGCAATTCTAATTTAGACATTTACCTATATATGCTAAATTTTATAATTAGGTTTAGTAATTTTTTTTTTTTGTCGGCATGGAGGAGTTGAATGCCTACGCATTGACCATATTCCGGCGCCTCGGAAAGTGAGTGCACGACGACTCGCACGGACTAAACCACTCCCCCTCATTTCTAGACACTGAGACATATATTTTCGTTATTAAGTATGACTTTACAGAAATTAAAAAAACCGTTAATGCTAAATAAATTGTCGTTTGAATTTCATATCAAAAAACAAATTTACGCTTTTATCACTTTATAACTTTACTATTTATCTTTATTATATTGAAACAATCTTCTATCTATTTGCTTTGGCTAGTTTTACTTACAAATGAAGTCTTGGCTAGTTGTGGCATAACACGATTAGTTATCGTTTCTAATTTGATAGGCACGAGTTTTAAGCTTGGTACTTGCAGTCCAAATAAATTATATATACACTATAAACTAATTTAAAAAAAAAGGCTGGAATATGTCCTAAGACCACTGATGATGGGTACAGCTTTGTATGGTCAGTCAAATTTTAATAAATCAAATTTTTGTTGTTGTTTGTTCATTACTGTTCAAACCGTTCTATCTTGTTTTCGTATTAGTTTTCCACTTTTACTTTTGGAATATGTATTATATATTTTTTCGATCTCTAAAACGTATTTTACTCTATATTTTCTTGTACATGCATTAAATAAATCAGTACTAATTTAATTAAATGAGAGTAAAGGATTGTATAAATGGGAAAATTTAATTTCATTTAAAAAATATAAAAATGTTTTTTGCATTTTACCTTAATATCACTACTGCTACGAACCACCACATCCTGTCCTGCGCTGTTTGTTGTAGCAGTCATTTGCCCACTTGACGTACCCACCAAATGTACGTTTATGTCTGAACCGACTAAATCACCTTTACCTGTTGCATGACATGTACAAATATTTGAATAAAAAATAATGGTGTTAATATTACAAAAAATTTATGAAAATTAAATTAAATCTCAACACAAACAAAGCAAATATGCGCATAACACGCATAACGTTTTTATATAAAAACCTCAAATAAAAATTTCACACATAAAATTTATAGTTTTCGTTAACTGTAACTTACTTACCCAGTATAGCTACTACCATGTCGTCCTTGATTACTTCCATGGAACCGTTGCACAGATAGTAAATATAGTTAAGTGCATCGCCTTTGTGTATTAAATATTCGCCAGGTGCGCAAAAATTTGTTTTGATATGCAGTGAGAGGAGCTTCAAGCAACCCTGCAAAAAATTGCAATAAAAATGTCAGCATGATTATGCAAATACGAATATTTAAATATTAAATGAAATTTTTAAAATAATCAAAAATGCTGAAAATTAATAAACGTGAATATTTTATACGCGCTATTGGGGAAGCAGCACATTTATTGACTTTTCTTGCTCCAAAATGGCAGTCGACTTAAAGTGTTAAAGTGGTTAACCTTTGTTATAAAATAAAGTGAATAGTTAAGTTCAAGGATCTTAAAAAATTAAATATTCAAGCAACTGAAATTCTTACTTAAGGTTTTAATTTTCTGAAGAATTTCGTTTAAGTCTCTTGACGGTGCTATTCAGACTTTTCCCATCAAAAAGTACACATTCAATCTTGCTTACAATAAGGAAAAACGATGCCAAAATGCATGCAAATTCCAACATTAACGAGGGTATTGACATCTCCATATCGAGATAAAGAATTCTGACAAAGTTAAACACAACAAAAGGCTCCTCAGTGAAACTGAAGCGAAAACATGCTTAACATATTTTGCTCCTTGTTCGATTACGTGTTTATGTGTGAAAATTTCTAATTCTTAAATTTTATTTAAGAAGAAAAATGTGACTTAGCAAATGCCGAAATACAAATTTGCTCACATACTTTAGAAATAATGCTATTCTTATAGATTTATTTTTAAGTGGATTATTAGTTAAATTTAATTTTTGGATTGATAACGAGGGCTGCCTTCTAAATCTTGCACCTAACAGTGAAAACATACTAGTTGAAGAGTGAAAATGGTTTTATTATTTTTTGAAGTATTCTCCATGATGATCAATACATTTTTGTATACGATTGAACCAATTTTCGAAACAGTTTTGCCACTCTGGTTGGTATCTCCAAAACCAGAGTTTTGAATGTCTCAATAGTTTGTTCGAGCGTAGAAAAATACTCGCCACTCATTTTATTCTTAATGTTTGGGAGCAAGCAGAAGTTATTGGGTGTTAAGTCGGGACTGTAAGGCAGATGACACATCAATTCGACGTTTTAAATATTCAAAAACTTTTTTCTTTGAGTTGATGTGTGGGAGCTCGCATTGTCATGTTGGAGGATGATTTTACTTCGATGGTTTGTTTTTTTCAATTCTTCATGGAGTTCCGGTAAACAAATGGTTGTGAACCATACAAAATTGACCATTGTAACTTGTTTAAGTGGTATAGTTGCATCATGATCTGTTTTTCTGTAAAAACATGCGACCATTGGGATAGATTTCTGATCACTTTGGAAAACCTAAACAATGAATTGCTATTTTGTTTCGTGCTCATAGGCATAGATACATGATTCGTCAAATTTCTTGATGTCGTAGACGTGTTTTGAACTACTTCGGGTATAATTTTTCAGCATTTCCTGTCACCAATTAACATATGCCTTTTTTTAAGCGATTGTCAAATTATGAGGAATTCAATGGGAAAAAACCTTTTTCAAAGGTAAAATTGAATATATGTTGGTCCCACTACTGCCCAAGGACGCCCCTATCTTCCGGTATGTAACATGCCGATCTACGTCAATCATTTCTTGCACTGCATTGATGCTCTGGTGCAATAGCTGTTTTTGGACGACCTTTCTCAATTCGTCGTTGAGAAAACGACAGTTGCTGGATGCGGTGTTTCGTCACCACATGTTGAACTAAGTTGTCATTAACATGTATGGGCCCATCATGTCTCCAGATCAAATGTACATAATTTAGTAATTTTTTAAAGATGCAATGTATATCAACAGTTATTTAAAGATTTGTACTTACTAAAATATGACAATTTTGTTCTGTAACTGAGGTTTTTCATCATACAATTCTAACACAACTAAATCCATTGGTAAACATGGTCTGCTTGAACTCATTCATAATCTTTGTGTAAGATTTTATTTGATCAGTTTAAAATCTGAAAATCTGGTTTTCTAATAAATAGATGTATAGACAGACATAGCTCAATTGATTTAAAGTAGCACTAAAACTCAACTGGATTGTTCTTTAACTAAATTTTGGTATATACTTCCTTGATATAGTATACGATTCGATTTGTTACTAATTATGAGAATTTATTTATGTAAAACATATAGCAGTTAACGCAGAGTCAAACCAAGTTTTAATCTATTTCTATTGATTTTTTATTAATATTTTTAAAATATTTTTTATGCATATATATAATTATATATTCGTGGAATCAATAAAACTCTTTCATCACGAGTCTATTATATTGTTAGTGTACCCAAGTTATGAATAACTAAAAAAAAATAATTGAAGTTAATATGTATTTATGCGTAAAAAGTTAATTAAAATTATCTAATAATTAATGTATTTTGCTTTTCAATAACAACTTTATATGGTTTTGATATTAATTGGCCCATTAAAATATAAAATTGGCCTAATATTTTAAATGCTGCAATTACAATTACAATTGTGTTATTATTTTTATTTAGAACTATTGACTGATCCATTGATCTATTGTAACATAAACCAGTCGTTCGTTTAGTTTATTTTTGAATGGTAAAACGAAATTATCGTATATTTGATAAAGAGTTAATAGAAATGCTGTTAATGGTATCTTTATTGAGGAGTGTTATATATCTTTTATTTGCAGTAAAAGTAAATATTTTTAAAATATGATTTTCATAAAAATAATTAAAAAGTATTGTTTACTTATTAGGTATTTTCGTATATTGAATTTACAAATATTATGTGCACTTCACTCGATAAGGATTTTGCCGATTTCGAATATTGCTACTTAAAATCGGTCAACCGGTCCTTCAAATATATGTCACTAAGGTTAAAACTTTACAAAGTGCCACTAACAAATATAACGGTATGTTTTTAGTAATTGAATACATCAGAAAGTTAAACAAAGAATTAAAAACCTTTTGTACCATTGTCAAAACAGATTCAGTACCAAGTTTTAAAAAAAGCTAATGGATATAAGCCTTTTATGTATAATATAACATTTGATGTTTGCAAGTTCTTGAAATCGCCTAATCATCCAGTAACAAAAATATTTTATAGTTTATTTAGAAATCGTTCAAATGTAAATCACACATGTCCATACAATGTAAGCTAACTACGGAAATTGGTAGCTAAATTTTGATTAACTGATTTTTATTTATTTTAGCATGATTTTATAGTGGATAAACTTGATTCGGCGGTATTAAATGAAAAGACATCACGTTTACCGATTCCGGATGGAGATTATGCAGTTTATATTACATGTTTTGCTTATAATATTAAACGTATTTCAGTTAAGGTGTATATCAAAGTATTTTACAAAAATGTACCATAAATATATGTTGATTCTTTAGAAAAGTATATGTATGCGGCAATGTACTTAGATATATACAACCTTCTACATCTGAACATTTTTTTGAAGAATTCATTTTTTCTTTATATGCACACACAACAAATGTAACTAATAAATATATTTTATCGTTATATTTTAAATATTAATAAAGATATAGATATTAAATATTAACAGAGATATAGTGCGTAAATTAAAGAAGGCAACCTAAAGAGACACATGAAGATCCTGAAAATCTTTGGATAAGAAGTTTTGTATCTTCAGACACTTCAAAGTAGATACAACAAAGTAAATTTTGAAGAGAGCTTACAGTTAAGATACACTGATGGGTCCAAATTGGAAGACGGCAGCACTGGAACGGGAATTTTCAGGACGCAGTAGCAATGGGTCAAGTGATTTCCATTTTTCAAGCGGAGATCCATGCCCTAAAGCTATCCTCTATAGAATGCTTATGTACTTGCGATACTAACATATGCATCCTCTCAGACAGTCAAGCAGGTCTGAAATCACTAATGGTATTCACATTCTAATCGGAGTTGGTTTGGGACTGTTTTAATTTTTTCAAGATCTTAGCGACGAGTTATTCTGTGATTTTGTTGTGGATACCGGGACATGAGTGACATGAAGACAATGAAAGGGCGGAGTTCGGGACAAAGAAAGAGACAAAAACACATTTTGTAGGCCGGGAAATCTTCTGCGGTATCACAACAGCTTCAAAATTAGTCCAGTACGTAAAAGGGAAAAACAAAACCTAACTGATTTCTGGAAAGTCCAAAAAAGCATGAGTTTTATTATCTCTAAATTTTAGATAATAAATAGTTCCGCACACAACCGTTCAGTTTAAAGACTTTTATTAAAGAGAACTTATAACTAAAATAACAAAGGTAATATAAACTACTTAATTACATGGTTGCATTTATGCTGACACTATACATAAAAAGGCTGAAGCTGTTCTAAACTTTAGCAGTTCAGATATTAAACTTTACACGGAACTGTTAACAGTACACTGTACACTGCGAATTCATCTGAAAAAGACTGGTCTAGCAGAAAACGATTTTTGTTGACTCTATCAAGAGCATAAGGAAACAGCAAAACATCTAGTTAAAGTACGGCCTACATTTGTGACGAAATTCTTCAAAAGTTTAGAATCGGTTTAGTTGGGCGAAAGGCTGGACAAAAGATTTTTTAGTTCACAGTGGATGCACAGCCTAACTATAATAATAATACAGTGTGTTAAAAAAAAGTCCACGCTGAATATCTCAAAACTATTTTCTGCAAGTCCAAATTATTTAAGGACTACTATCTCTAAAATTAATGTAAGTCCTACTACTTTAACTAAATGTACCTAATTTGCGTCTTGAGTATTAGTAAATGTTGGGCATCGATGTTTTTATCTATATATAATAATATATATTATATATTAGAATATATACCCTGTGAATGGTATACTAAGTATACTAAGAAGTACACTATGTATACTAAGAACGATATACAATGTATTCTATGAATGATTTACTATGCATATATACTATAAATGAATATGTATAAATTTTCGTTGTCGTCATAAATTAGTTACTAAAAAATTTAATTATTTCAAAATTTTCATATTTTTGACTGGTGAAAAATTCTTTGACGCGTCAACTTCAATTGGTTTGTAAACCAAGAATAAAATAATAAATTTAAATGAAATTTTGGTTGTGTTTTAACAAAAGCTGAAATATTAAATATTGATAAATATTAAAAAAATGGCACGCTGCTAAATTATAGCATAACATAGCCACAATTTCAAGTTATAGCTCAACCTTGTAGTGAACTCAGCAATCGTAAAAGTTTTTACAACAAATTTAAAAAAGAAATTCGAATTTTTTCATATCTGTATGCACTTTATCTCTGGATTCCAACTTATTTTAAGTTTAAGTGCACATCACAGATTAACATTTCCATATTTCACGTAAGTAGTGCAATGATGTGTAAAAAAAAAATTGCTGTTAAGGAACAATAGATTCGACTATTGCATACATTAAAAAAAAGTACTGAAGTATTTGAAAAATTGTTCTGCACAAAAATGTGCAAATAAGGATATATTTTTTTTTATATAGGTATATACAGGTTTGCTCTCATAGCTAGTTGCCGCATATTGTGGTCAGGAAGCTACGCATGCATAACTCTAGAAATAAATTGACTTTAAGTACTGAAAAGATGAGAGGAAGCTCTGAAATGTAAAGTTTTATTCACGCAATAAAAAAACGCATTTTGAATTAAACGAATTTTTTTTTATGGATGTGAATTCATTGCATCATCAACTCGTAACGTTTGCTTCTGTTCTTTTGTTCTTCTCGAATAAGTTGAATTTTGAACTTTTACCTTTTCAAAATCACAGAAATTCTCACAAAACGCAAAAAAAATAAAAACGAATTACATATTCATGGAATCTGTTGCTTACCTGCGAAGCTGCCTCAAATATTGGCAACTGCAAAATTTCACGGTGTAAATGCATGGATACATCGCCTCTCAGCTCCTCTGGAAACTCGCGTAGCGTCTGTTGTTGAACATGTAAAAAAAGAGGTGAAAAATTCGAAATGAATAAAGTTGCAAAAAATTTTTAATATTATTCAGTGAGTAAAAAAGATTTTCCTTTTATTGTTTGGGACAATCGAGAGTTTTTATAACTATTATTTGATTGTTAAATGGTGTATGTCAGAACTGCGCTGTTAGTATATTAATTGCTGCTAAGTAATCAGTTTCTGACGGTTAAAACTTTGATTGGAGTGGAATTGATATTATCAAGAAAAACACAAAGGTATTATACAGAGATTCATATCATATCAAGGAGATGTTTCTTTTAAATTAACCTGAGAGTAATATCATGGGTAACCGAAAAATAATTGTATATTAACAATAATAGAATAGAATTTTGAAAAAGGACTGCGTTCGATATAGCTACAGGAACTGTTCCACTTGCATGAATGAGATGATTTGCCTAATATCATCTTAATATATATTAATATATTCATATTGGTGCGAAGATACAATTCAATTTAAGTTAACTGAGATAATTTTGAATAATGTCAGTTAGTTAGGAAATAAGTTTTTAAATATTGTTGGTTATTTTGATGAATAAAGTGTGTGTGTTTCAAAATATAAGTAACGGTTATAATAAATATAAGTTTAACATAAATTACTTATCAGGATCCAGTGAAATCGAACGAAAAGTGGGAATAATCGTAACAATATTAATATATTTGAATGATTACAATAAATCAAGTACCACAATATATGATTATTAAAAAATTGTTAATATCGATGGTTGCTTCCTTCGTTTAATTTTTGGATTATGGGGTCAAATATAGTGCGTATGTCTACCATGAATATATTCCGGAAGGATGTTTCATCAAGATTCTGAACTATCACACAAAACATACACCAACCAAAAAAAAGTGATCGACTTTCACAGTGACTTTTTTGGTGATGTTAATTTTGCTACCCAGGGTTAGCTCTGTAAAATATTGGAGTATAGTATATATTTATGGATGAAGATTGTATAGGTTTAGTTATGTGAAGTATGTGATATCATTGTCAATAGACTTTGAGTCATAATTTGTGATGAAGACTATTATATTCGCAGTAGACTTTGAGTGTTAATTCGTGGTGAACCATATTTATAAACAAAACCATTGAAAGTTTGAAATAAATTCCAAAACGATCTAACAACTATTTCTTATGATCAATAAAATTGGTATTATTTTATTAAATCACCATTCGTTTGCTATTAACTTATGTCATGAGACATATATAATGAATTCACATATTTATAGATATGGTGTATCGATTTATTTTGGTAGTGGTTTTTAATCTCTTAAGACTCCTCTTGGTTAAGTGCCCAATCTTACACTCTTAAAGTATTTTTCATACTTGCATTATATAAAAATAATAAAAAAATAAAAGAATACACAAGGTAAACACAAATTGTATTGCTTCCATCATCGCATGTACATAATACCTATAGCAAAACAGATATTTTGTTATTAGCATTTGGGAATACCGAACTTGACATTGGGTAACAACAAACGTAACAGTAGCACCAAATGACAGTTGGTAATAATATTGTCTCTAAACTCGGTATCGTTTTTTCAGAATTTTAACATTTATTTCGACTGCCGTGTTTTTGTATATTCCTATACGTATTTCGGGAAATTCGCTTTTGACTTCATAAGGAGAATTCCTAACATTGTTTTTGTATATTTAATTTTTTTTAAGTAAAAGTGTATAATATTTTGTTTGTATAAAATATTTTGAACAAAATTTTATGTTTTACCATCTTACATATTTTTTCCAATCAATTATTTTAGTTAATGGTTTATACTAAAACTTAGGACTAAAACTAAGGATATGAAAAAAGAAGTAGCCTTCAAATTTTAGTACCATAAAACTATATTTTTTATTACATCTTCCATCATATTGTATATTCAACTCTTTTAACATCTATGTCAGCTTATTGAGTATTGAAAATAAATACTATCTGTCTTTGATGATCTTTGGCTTTTGTGATATATATTAATTAAACCAAAGTGGGAGAACGAAGTAAAAAGTTACTCATACGACATGTCTAACAAAAAAATAATAACAGCATCAATACAATTTTTGAGAATATTTTAATTAAATAATAAAAATAACTGAATAATGGTGACAAAGTAAATGCTCCCTCTAAATGTAAATAAAACTTAAGTAATTGTTTTCATACGCTGTGAATTTGTAGTATTAGTAAAATATTTACCAATACATATAGGAAACTTTAGTATTTAGATACTAAATTTTAAACGAGCGAATGGGGAATTGTACTTGAAATGTGTATGTGTGACACATGCTGTTAGCAACATAGCAGTCAAGTAACAGTAGCAGCTGTGGTAAAAGTTGTATCTTAACAGCTGTGCTTAGCTAGCAGAGCACAAGTGATTTTATATAAAAATGTCATATTGTTTATGTTTATTAAAATAACTTTTAATGTAAATATAAGAGTTTATATGTACATACTTCTTTAAATACACAATTTATGCAATACATATAGACACATATGACTACATATAATCATAATCATGCATATTATAAATAAATGTGTTGCTTTACGTATACTTGAGTTTTACGGAATTTGTCTGAAATTCGTCGCACTTTGCATTACAATTCTCCCGCGTATGCCTCTCACATAAAGTCGAAGCATTCAACTTTGTATGAAAATGTGTTACTTGTAATGTTTTATTTGTTACTGTGGAGCAATGTATATGAGAGCGTTCATCCCAAAAGGATAACAAAACGTTAACAAATGTACAACATGTAATTTATGAGTTTAAGTGTGCTTACAACTAAATATGTAATTTAAGTTTTGTTTTCATCACTTTTTTGTTTTTGTTTTTTGAACTTATATTTTAATTTATTGTTTGATGTTTTTTATTATTTTTATTATTTATGTGGGTTTTTAACTTTAAACTTAAGTATTTGGGGTTTTTGTTTTTGTATACCAAAGGCATATGTTAACATAATTAAATAACTTTAAAGTGACCTAACCATAATGTATGTAACCTTTTCATTTTAATTTTTAAATATTCAAGATACGTGGGTAAATGGTCTACATTCCGTAAATAACTAAAAATATATTCTGCAATCAAGTAATATTATACTATGGATATGAATAAATAGTATTGCGATGAATGTATATGTTATATACATTTTTAAGTTATAAATATACAAAGTCAACATTTTTCACATAATTAAATTTTTGTTATATTAGTTTTTATAAAGCAATATTTGCCTTACATTATAAACGTTTTATGTAATTAAAGTATGTTTTAAATTTATTAAGTTTATGAGTGCTATAAATTTACTAGTTTTTGTTCCTTTGGTGAATGGTATATAAATCAATTTAAAGTTAGTAAAATATTTATATGTGTAAGTTTATTGCTTGTTGGAATATATAATCTGTCAAAAAAGTTATTTACACTAAGAGTACTTGAAGCAGCCTGCAATGATATGAATACATATTTTAAGGGCTTTTTTATTATTAGTAGTTAGCTGTCATAGTTTCTATTTACAAATTAAACAATTTAAATTTTTTTTCTCTTTTATATTATCGATATGTAATGAGTTTTCTTTGATATAAATGTTTTTTATAAGTACATGCATGTGTTATCAATAGGTAGTATATTCTTTTGTCAAGAATGCTTCAATAGGACAATTTCTGATTGCTTTACGGAATGCAGAATGGCATCACTATGTTACATAAATTAGTAATCATATGACAAGTAAACAATTTTTAAAGAAATTTGATAAAATTGATGGTTAATAAATATATGTAAATACAAAACGTTAGGTTATACCGGCGATCCCTAAGGGATGCACTTAGGCCTATTGGTCCATTGTGTTACTGTATATATAGAAAAAATGCAAAAACAACTCAAGATAATTTTATAAAAGAATTTTTTTTTTATATTAATATAAAAACAAAAAACACAAAAAAGTTATTGGTGAGCATTTTATATTGTATTTGAATTTATATTAAAGTACAAATTTTTCTTAGGGTTTAATTATGATTACTGAGAAATATCACAAAAACTTACTCCTTAAGTTCGGATATAACTCCTTGCTCCAAGATACGAAGAAAATCCTAAGGGAGTGTGTTAAAAAAATATGTGTCCCAAAAAAGATGTACAGTTAAAAAACATCTACTATGAAAATGATTACCACATCTAAAACGTGTTATTAAAATATCATAACTTATATTTTAATAATTAATAAGTTATTATTTTTAATCGATTAAGGGTCAGTTTTACAATGCACACTTAGGGATCGATTTGACATTTACAATTTTGACATTAAATTTTAAATGAGCTTTAAGTGCCCACCTATGAGTATTTAAATAAGAGGACATAAGAAAATTTATGATTTGTATATAAAGAAAATTAAATTTTTTTGAAAAATTTAGTAATTTTAAATATGATTACATTTGTATTCATCTGAGTTTTCGATTGTAAAAACTATTACGAAATTGAAAAAAATTGAAATATTATTTACGTGAGTCCACCAAAGGGAACTACAGACCGACCCTAATTACTTCCAATAACATAATTTTCATCACTTTTAAATTATTAAGCATGTAAAATTTTCCAATTTGAAATGAATTAAAATAACTGTCAAGTTTCAATACAATGTAGCAGTTCATATGATTTCTCCAGTATTGCCACATTTTTCGTAATTATAATTTTATCTCAAGTCTTTATATCGCAAAAACTTTGAACAGTTAATGGCTGAAGAGAACTTATACTATACTTAGCTTAAGAGTTTTCTAAGTGTATTTATTGTTAAACTGAGCCTAAATATTTTTTAGGTTAATGTTTTTTACTCATATTTGTTGAAAACTGTCATCGTATAAATTAGATGCTGTAGGAAAATTTTGAAGTATTTATACTCTGCACATGATACCTAATAACTTTATTTTCTTGTAATCATTTTTCGGTGAAAAATTGTTTTTCTATCATGTACCATTACTTTTCGCCGGTCTCCGGAGGGAGCCACTTTTTTTAACAAAGAAGTATAATTTTATTTGTTTTTTGTTAATAGCATCCTTTAGTAAATTAGTGCGTTTTATTGATAAAATCTGTGTATCTCTTGCTTGACAAGTGAATAAACAGTAGTCATTTTCATTTAAATATCTTGGCGAATATTTTTTTAAAAATTGTATTTAAACTTTTTTCATAATTAAAAATATTAAGAAAAATATATTACTTAAATAATATAGTATAGTTTAGGATATCAGTACTTTTACACAACCCTTCCTTTACGTTTTTAATAAAACCCGAATCGAAAGTCATAAATTTGCTAGTCGAATTTGTTTCATATTAAATAATGTATGGTATAAAAATATATTTTCACCATATGAACTTTAAAACTTTCAAATTTTTGAAAACACAGCGCAAATGTAATATTGAACATTCCTGTTTCTATTTTTCATTTTTCAATTGCCAGACTTCCATTTAAATGAAAATTTCAAAAATTAATAAACGTCAACCTTTAAAATATTTTTTGCCATAGTCTTTTACGTTTGTCTTTGTCGGTTGTCTTTTGTTTGATATCTGACTTAAAGTCCGTAAAACACGATTTTAACTCAGTATCAGTATACTATCATATTTTAGTTGATTTTTATAGTAACTGATTACTAATTAACGTATTACAATGCCTTACAACATTGAAGAAAAAAAGACTGATGATGAGGCTCAAGGCTGCACTGCTTTGGTACCTGAAGCTAGCTCTAAACCTAGCTGTTCCATTTCGTCTGCTAATCCATTGGAAGGTGTTGGTCGAACATGGAGAGAAATTGACTCTAGCTCTACTGAAAGTGATGATGAAAATATATTCGAAGATATAACGGATGAGGCTTATATAAAACGTCATAGAAAATATGAGTTAAAAGAAAAGCGTGAATACAAACAATGGCAAACTAAAATGCACAAACGCAAGGACTATAAAAAAATATTACGCAAAAGGGATCAAGGAAAAAAGTTACATGAGGGTATGGTTTTGCGAAGCGGAAGGAAATTGAAATAAGTCCATGCACTGTTTCAATAAAAATTTATTCCTATATAACAGTATTTTGTATTTTGAACGGTTCTTCCATCCTGTATAATCTTATATCAGGTTTTTCATATTATATTTTTACTGTAAAAGTCATCAACATAGATTTGAATTAATTAATCAATAATAAAATTGTTTAATATTTATAAAAAAACATATTAAACAAAATATTATTTCTTTTATGAATTGTAATATATTGTTGTCTTCTTCACTCCTTTGACATTTTAAGTTCAAATAGTTTTCTACATAGTTTTCTTTTTTGTTAATATAATTTAAACAGAGCCTTGCTTAAGGAGAATAACATCTGTAGAAACTAAAATTAAAATTTTGAGCTTAAAAACGAAAAGTAGTACTAATGTAGTCGTATAATTAATATAAGTAAAGACAATTAATATTGCTCCTTTTATGGATTGTGTTATATTGTTGTCTTTCTCACTCTTTCGGATTTAACAGTATATAAGATTTTGCTTAATGCATATATTTGTGTATTTTTAGCCTATATTTCTATAAAAGTTTACGTACTAATGTTATCTGTAAACTAATATATTCCAGAAATAAATTTCTTTATCAACCGCGAAAATTGGTTTTAAAACTAATAAGATTTTTATAACTGGGTTTGTGGTTGCAAAATGAAGTCAATGAAGCGGTATTTAGACAGCAGAGAAAGTTCTGTCACCAACCTAAACATTGATTATTAGACATTGCCTTAGAGGTTTAAATGGGTATTAAAACTAAAAACTACTTTAAAAGCTGCTGTAACAAGAAAAAAGGAGAAACCCTTAAACACTTTTTTCCTTTACAGCACATAATATAATAGTAAGTATTCTTACAACATTCG